ATTAGTTTCTTCATGGAGAAGATATTTACAAATGCATTCTATTGTTTGCTTTTACTTATGAGGTTTGTGTACTGATAAGAAAGAAAAGAACTTTGAGAATGTAAATATGATTTATACAATACATGGTAAAATGCAACTAAAACCTAATGCACACATTCACTTACTCATTCCTTTTACAAGCCATCAAAGTCTGAAGAGACTATTGGATAATGTTCACAGGAGTTTCTTATATAGAAGTTAATTTTAAGGTAGTTATTCTAATTTCTTTTTCTGCTACTGTTTTTGTTTACAAGTTGTTTAATATTAATGTTCTTTAGGAAGCCAGGTTTTTTTCAAAGATACCTGTCTCATATCTGATTTAGTATCACAAGTGCTGTGTTTTGCATTCTAACTTATTCATGTTGCTTTCAGAGCACCATTATTTTATAAAAAGTTTCTAGCTTTTCACTTAATTGATTTGTCACTCATGAAAAATAGCTTCTCAGACAATTAAATGTACATGACAGTAGATTGCAAAGAAATTGAGATTTTCCCTATAAAATCCATTATTCATCAGATTTTAAATACTGTGGTAAAAATTTTTAACACAATAGGAAGATTGCTCTTCGGAGAAGAATAAATTGCTTGCCAGTTCAGAGGCTGAATTCAAAGTTACTAAACATGATACTTGTTTGTTATCTTTGTAGCTAGTGTACTGTATTTCTATAGCTTATGCCAAGACTTAACTTTTTGAACAAATTATAACATGTTTTTGTAAGGGGTACGAATAATTTTCTTTCTCTAACATCAGAACAGCTTTGATGATCAGGAACATAGAAGCTCTGTTCAGGTGTTATAATTCAGTTATATTCACTGTGTGTAGAAGAGAGTTTTCTAGAGCAGTGGTCCCCAACGTTGAATAACCCAGGTGTTCTTAGAGTACAACTCCTAGAAATCCCAGCCATCACAGCTTGTGATGAAGGTTTCTGGGAATTGCAGTTCAAGAACACCTGTGTTATCCAAGATAGGAAACCACTGCTCTAGACCACCATTTCCTTTCCTGTTTTCATTATGCCTTCTTCATATTGAGCATGAAGCATCTGAAAAGAGATATGTTGTCTGTGAATACTCTCCATAACATTCAGGACTCTGATTTTTCTAGTTGTTCTGTTCACATGAAGTTCACACAGTTCACACAGACTATGGTTCTCTTCCCTTTCAGACTTATCCTCAGTGTCTAGATGGGTGATGGAAGTGATGATAGAGGCTGCTAGGGCACTCTCCTTTATATATGGTATATTTATCTAAATTATAACATTTGAATAGAGATGCAGTTTTCAGCACAGAGGGGTTATATCCAGTGTTAACATGGAAAAGATGCAAGAGGAGTTGTTTGGTTAGGAAATCTAACAAAAGCTATACCTAACTGCATGGCTTGTGTAATGGGGAGCTTAGAAGCAAATGCAGCAAAACAGAAATTGTATCAGAATTGTCACAGATTTATACAATACAGTGTCCTGTATAAATGAACAGTTGCTTTCTTCAATTTGTAAAACGTTGTACTCTGTTTAAAAAAACCTAGTGCAATGAAATAGATAATATAAATATTTGCAAATATACATGTCTGTCTGTCTGTCTGTCTATCTATATCTATCTATATCTATCTATCCCTACCTACCTACCTACCTACCTACCTACCTACCTACCTACCTACCTACCTACCTACCTACCTACCTACCTAATCTGTGATACGAGAAGATGCTGATAAGTATTGAGCCTTTCCCAGAAAAAAAAATTGAGCTAGGAAGATGTAACTGCCACATTATTCTACATATTCCCGTAGGAAGTCAATGCGCTTGCGACATCCATTCTGCAGCTTCTTAAGTCCCTGCAAATAAAATTATTCCGACTGCTGGTGTAACCACTCATTTGCGGCATTAGTTGCCTCCAGAACACTCCCAAATCATTGTCCCTTTAGGTGGTTTTTTTTTTTTTTTTTAAGTTTGGGGAACAGATTATAGTCAGAAGGATCCAGATGAGGAGAATAGGGTATCACTTGAAAGCCTAAGTACGTTAGTTTTGCTATTGTTTCACCTGCAGTGTGTGACAAGGATGTCATGCAACAGGAGCTTTCCTCAATGTTTTTCCTTGATATTTTGCCTCAACTTCGTCAATAAAGCACAGTAATATTTTGCATTGATGGCTGAACCCTGTTGGAGGTAGTCCACCAACAGAACTCCCTTCTAATCCCAAAAAAACTGTTGCCATTTGCTTCTGCGCCGACCTTTGCACTCGGAACTTCTTTGGCCTGGGGGAACCACTGTGCCTCCATTCTTTAGACTGTTCCTGTGTCTCAGGATCATAACAGTAGATCCATGTCTCATCACCAGTTACCAGTTTGCCCAGGAAATCTGACTCAGTCCTCTGATGGAGCTGGGCAAGGCTCTGAAGACTTCACCAGCACCATTTTTGAACTTCCCGCCCTTTCCCCCTGCCTTTTTCCATTCGGAGGCTTGCCTCCGATGGTGCTCGTCAAGGCTCCGAATGGAAAAAGGGTGGGAAATTCAAAAATGGTGCTGGGGAAGGTTTGCCCAGCACCGTCGGAGGACTGCCGGGGGACCTCTGAAAGTGGCAATCGCGGTTGCAGGGGACCAGTCCTCCGATGGTGCTTCCCCAGCTCCCTACCTGGTAAGTGACTTTTTCAGAGTTTTTTGGCCCATAGGAATGCATTAATTAAATTGTAATGCATTCATATGGGAAAACTCGCCTTGCAAGACGAAAATTTCGCAAGACGACAGGTCTCGTGGAATGAATTATTTTCGTCTTGCGAGGCACCACTGTACTGGATTTGAGGTGGTACCCAGCATGGCGTAGTAGATAGACTGATAGATTAGGATTTTAGAGACCAGGATTCTTGGTTATGCAAACTCACTGGGGGATTAGAACTAGTAAAACCATTCCTTAAATATCTCACTTACCTTGAAAGCGCTGTTAGGGTTGTTATAAGTCAGTTTCAGTCTGATGGAACATAACTAATGATTAGAGGAGTTTTAGGCAGTGTAACACACGTGTCTATAATGAATTAGAAAAACTTGATAACTAATAAAGTTTTAAAAGATTAATTTGTCTGAAGTGTGTAAATTTGTGCACTTGCATTTTTTGTGATTTTTTTTTGCCTTTAACAGTTTAAAAAGATAGTGAACGTTATACATTTCTGGGTCTTAATACCTCATTTTAAATCAGTTTTTCATGATTTACCAAGGTTCAGAATAAACATATGTACATGTCCTATGAATGCAGAGAATTAGGAACTTAAAAGTTTTGAAGTAATATCTAACAGTAGATTCTACTACTGTGATCCAGCAGAAGCCCCCACAAACAAAATGGATGATGGTTATTTCTATCAGCTTCCTCCTTTTCTGTTTCTTGAAAGGAGTCTTACCTGAATAAAAGAACCTCATTGAGAAGAATATAATTGGGACTACCGAATTAAAGGAAGGTTGTGTAGACTCTGTGAATTTTTTTCCAAAACTTTCTGTTGAGTACATCTCACCTGTCTCAAAGGATGACTAAGAGACCCACCCCATGCCAGTTGCCCCACTCACAAGCCTCCACACACCACCTAGGTCGTTATTCTTTGCCAGCTGCCCAGTCTGAGAAGGCGCTCAGGCTTCCCTTTCCTGGCTCCTCTGGCAGCTGACCACTCAATGGCTGCACAGGGAGAATTGCTGTCCTGCCTCCTCATCTGAGTGGTCGGCTGCTGGAGGATGCAGAAAAGGGAAGCCTAAGCTCTTCCTGGACTGGGCAGCTAGTGAAGGAGGACGACCCGGCTGATGCACGGAGGCTGGTGAGTGGGGCAGTTGGTCAGGGGATGTGGAGAGGGAACGTGTTGTACCTGTGGTGCTACACTGATGAATTTCATCAGCTCAGGCCAACTTAATTTGTGCTCATCTCTACTGTACTTATAGACCTTAATGAAAAAAATACTGATGTGGATGGTGTAATGTATATTACAAAGAATATAAAAATGTAAGAAAAAATTATTGATGCAGTGGTGAAGTAAAAGTCCAATACATTTAGATTTTGTAAAAGAGTAAATAATTTTTTCAGACCCTGTAGATCTATAGGTTACAATGCTTAACATAAATTGGGGCAAAAAATAAAAATTTGTTTTATGAGATACGTCATTGGTAAGCCTACCTTTTATTGCTAGCTGTTATTATTCATAGGTGAATTTTACGTCAGATGTCACTTATTACTTATACTGTATATGAAATAGGCAATTGCCTTATACTGAATAAAACTTTTGCTCCACATAGCCCAGTATTGTTAGTGCTGGCTGGCTCTAGATGTCCAGGTTTCAGGGAAGTTTTTCTTCTATCCGTAAGCTAGAGGGAGGGATTGAACGTGGCACCTTCTATGTGCGAAGCATCTGTTCTCTCTGAACTGCATTGCTCTGTAATGTGTAAATATATTGTTGTAATAAGAAAATGAAGAGCTGAAATTGCTTGTTAATTAAACAGATATGTTTATAAAACAGCACTAGTTACTGGTTAAGTTGCTGTCATAATTTTATAGCAAAAATTCTCATGAGAGCATACTGGACAGGCATGTTCTTTGTCCTTCCTAGGAATCCTGTGATCATTTAGGTAGCTAAACTGTTTGTTGTGCTTCTTTATAATGCCCTGAATGCATCGTGTACATGCATACATAACTACTAAAGAATGCTGCCTCTCTTTCTTACTGAGTTTTATCTGTCACTTCTTTTTACCAGTATGTAGAGCTTCTGTTCATGAAGTGTATTTTTAACTAATATTCGGAATTTCACCCTTGCTCCTTTATGCCCAGCACTACAGATCCTTAGGAGTGTTGTGTAAATCTTTATGAAACATTTTGGAGAATCTGGGGCTCCTTTAGGAATGAGAGGACATGGGAAATGTCTAACTTGCTGCCACTAGTGAGATGTTGGGTAGAACCTCTTGTATTCAGTTTTAATGTTCATATTTGTTTAATGCCAACAGGTACCAAGTTGAAGATGAGTCCTCTCATTTGGATGAAATGCCCCTAATGATGTCAGAGGAGGGCTTTGAAAATGATGAAAGCGATTACCATACTCTACCAAGAGCCAGAATTTCTCAGAGAAAAAGAGGTTTAGAATGGTTTGTTTGTGGTGGTTGGAAATTTCTCTGCACCAGGTTTGTTGCTTGTTCTTTTCTTTATTTTAATTATATGACAGTTTGACTTCAGTGCTCAGTTGTGTAAACACAAGGTGCTTTACATGCACAAAATAGTTTCAAAGAAAATTGTTCTAATTTTTGGGGAGGGGGAAACAGTCCCACATCTGAAATAAATAAATAATTGAACTGTGGCAAGAGAATGTGGTAAAACAGATGGACCAAATGCCTTCCTACACACATTAATTGCAAGGACAGCATGAGCACCTGCTTTCCATCATTACTGTATTTCTGAAACCCCTTGTCCCTCCCTGAAATTCTCTTTTTCTAGTTACTGTTCCAAATAGTGCTAGAAGCTCTATCTAGCCAAACATTTATTTACCCACAGTGGTCTTTGTGGAATAGTGCTGAAAACTATCATTGTGGAATAGTACTGAAATTTAAAGTAGTGTTTAAACCCTGTCATTCATCAATGCTTGAAGTGGTGCCCTCACAACTGGGTAAGTTTGCCAGGGCCAGTTATAGAGGAAAGGCCCCTGGAGAGTGCAAGCTGATCTGAATTAAAGCTGAAGTGCATCTTGACAAATTGATTCCTTCCAAGAAGAAGGAGGTTGAGAACCTTTTTGCTGTTAAATCCTTGCTCCTCCCCCATTTCCATATTACCTCTTTTAATTACTGCTTTGAGCCTTCTTTTCATCTCTCTGTGAGAGAAGAGACATGTGAGTTCAGTCTTTGTGTGCCAAGAAATTAGCACTCTCTGCAGTCCATTCCTCCTAACCTTTCTGTAGTTACTTCAGAGAGAAAGAAGAACTGAGACTCATGACAGATGCTGAGAGGCAGAATTTGGGCTGCAAGACAGTGCACCTAAGTGTGTGCAATCACAAAGCCTTTCCCTCCTTTTCCTCTGAGTTAACTTTGTGCAGAAAGCAGGACATAGTATACTTTATGAGATACCTGGGTGTGTTGTGTGCTCCTCCTAAAATCATTTGTGCTCCTTCTGAGATAATTTCTCCTCCCTTTCTTTGGAAAAGCTTACTCTTCCATTTTTCCTGAATAAACTTTTCTGGAAAGTGATTTGTGGTTGTTTGGATTGGTTAGTTCTGGATCAGCCTCAGCAACCTCATCAGAACCAATAGTAATATTCCATGGCAGGTGAGGGTAATCTGCAGTAATCAGTTAGGCATCCTTCAGTCTCGAAAGACTATGGTAAAATGCTTTGTATGGAGGACTTGGAACAGCATGTAGTGTGGTGGAGAAGGCCAATTCGAGAGTGACAATCCCACATTGAAGACAAATGCAATCTGTCCCCTGTCCAGCTCCCTGATTTTGTTGTTTTCATGACTGCCTCTTTGTGTCGGCCTGCTGGACAAGGGTCTCTTCAAATTGGGAGAGGCTGTGATGCAACGCCTGCGTCCATGCACTAATTCTCCATACAGGAAATCTTTCAGAATCCGAACATCAGCCAATCTCACGACATGCCAAGCCAGCGTAGACGTCACTGTTTCAGTAATGTATACATGCTAAAAATTCCAGCTCATTCTAGGACTGCTCTGTTTGGAACTTTGTCCTGCCAGGTGATACCAAAAATCCCTTGGAGGCAACGCATATGGAAGATGTTCAGCTTCCTCTCCTGCCGTGCACAAAGGGTCCAGGACTCACTGCAGTACAAGAGTGTGCTCAGGACACAGGCTGTATAGACCTGGATCTTGGTATATGTCATCAGCTTCTTATTGAGCCATACTCTCTTTGTGAGTCTAAAGAACATGGTAGCTGCTTTGCCAATGCGTTTATCCAGC